ATCTATCTATCTATCTATCTATCTATCTATCTATCTATCTATCTATCTAATTTCCTGGCATAGAATGGTTAGCATATCCATGGCTGCATCTATTATTTGAAATATGTGATTTGATATCTCACTGAATCCTGGGTCCTTATTTTTTTTACAATGCCTTCATCGCAGCTTTAACCTTTTCATTTGTCCAATTCTTTCTCACATTCCCACCATCTTCTTTTATTGCTTCTCGGGTCACTCAATATTTTGCCCATAACATCTCTCAGGATTGTAATTCCAGGCTTGAATTTGTTTTTCAATTTGAGAAATGTTGAATGACTTCTTTTCATTCTCCAGCTCAAGCTCTCTGCGTACTCTACTATAATAACGTCTTCTTAAAAAGGTCTTTGAAATTTTCTGTTCCGCAGTTTTCCTTCAACATCTCTTCTCTTAGTTTTGACTTCTCGATGCTCTAGTGCAATTTTCAGAATCTCTCATGACATTTCTTTTTATTTTTTTCTTCTTGTCTGTCTTTGTAATGACCTTTTGCTCTTTTATTGGATGCGATCGTTGGTGTCATTCCACAACTTATCAATCAAAATCTTAAGGTGATTTTTAAGTTTAGGTGGGATAGACTCAAGATAATATTTGGGTTCTTTTTTACTTGTTTTAATTTTCTTCAGCATTAATATGAACTTGTACCTGAGTAATTGATGGTCTATTCCACAGTAAGAACCTGGCCTTGTTTTGAGTGCTGATGTTATGGTTCTTCAATGATTCTTTCCTTAAAAATTGTCTGATTCCTATGCTATCCATCAGGTGAGGTCCATGTGTAATGTCACTGTCTGTGTTTTTTAGAAAAGGTATTTAAAATCTTTAAGCATACAAAAGTCAATAATTAATGCCTCCATTCTGTCTTGCCACCAATGTCCTCAGATGGGCCTTGCATCATGATTTCTGTATGTCTATTTGCTCTTAGAGCAAATTTATTAGAGCATTTATTATCGGTGTGTTGTATGGAGGGAATGATTTGTGTATTGACCTTATTTTAACTAGGAGGAGATGACTCAAATGATTATTTTATAGCTTAGATGAATGTATACTTGCTCATTGATTAGTTACTTGTGTTAGTACAGCACTTATCTGTCAGTTTGCTGTTCTGAGGTAACTTGTGGGTTGCTGGAATGCTGGAAGCTATACCTCTGGTGTGAGTGTCTTAAGTAAGTATTGATAATATGTTTTTGTTGTTAAGTGTCAATGAATTCCTTGTAACTCATAGTGACCTTATATACTACAGCTCTGAACCCTGTTCTATCCTGTGCCAACCTCTTTGTCTCCAACACACCTATATCCATTACTAGAGTCACTAAATCAGTCCGTCTCATCTATGGTCTTCCTCTCTTATACTGTCCCTCCACCCTTGCAAGCATGATAACCCCTCTCTAAAGACTGGTCCTTCCTTGAAACAAAGCCCAAAGTAGGGCAGATGGAGCTTCAGAATCCTTGCCTCCAAAGAGTAGCCTGGTTTCACCCTATTCAGGAAATAATTCATGGTTCATAATCAGAAAATGTGTATACCAGGAATTCATCCTATCTCCATACCTTTTCAATCTATTTGCAGAAAAGATCATTTGGGAGGAGGAAACCTATGAAGAGGAATGTGGCATCAGGATTGGAGGAAGACTCATCAACAACCTGCATTATGCAGATGACACAACCTTGCTTGCTGAAACTGAGGGAGACCAGATGAATTTGCTGCAGAAGTTCGAGGACTGCAACTATCAATATGGATTGAGACTCAACATCAAGAAAATAAAGATTGTCACCACTGCACCAATTGACAGCATCATGATAGATGGTAAAGAGATTGAAATTGTTAACAGCTCCCTTTTGCTTGGTTCTACCATCAAGACTCTAGGTACGAGCAGCCAGGAAATGAAAAGTCTTCACAATAACTTGCTATGAATCAGAAGGCTGTACAATGACTAGGGATGGTACAAAGAGAATTGATTTCTTTGAGTTGTAGTGCTGGAGAAGACTGTTGACTCATGGACTGCTAGGAAAACAAACAAATTCATACTGGAGAGGGTATGAACAAGCAAGGATTGGTTGGTCATGTTACAAGAAGTGATCAACCCTTGGAGAGGGACATCATACTTGAGAAGGAAGAGGGACAGCGCAAGAGAAGACGACCCTGCATGATTGACTCAGTGACTGGGATAATGAGAGCTGGATGTATCAGAGATGACAAAGTTGGCTCAGAACAGAACAGGGTAAATAGGGTCACTATGAGTCACAAGTGACTCAATGGCACTTAACAACAACATTGTGTATCTTTAGGAATTCTGGTGACCTAGTCTGTAGCATATTGTATGGCTAACCTAAAGACCTCTACTTTAGTGTTTGAATTAACTGTGTTCCATTGAAGAAAGAGGAATCTTCACCTTCTATATAATTAAAGCCTCAGAAACTGATGGAGGATTACTTGAGGCAAAATCAACTTGATAACCATGAATTTTGAGATGCTGTTTTTGTTAGGTGTCCTTGAGTCAAATACGATTCATAGTAACTCTCTGAACAACAAATCTGAACTCTGTCCTATCTTGTGCTTTTCTTGTCATCTCAGACATACTTGACCCCATTGCTGCAGTGACTGTGTCAATCCACTTTGTTAGAACTTTTTCTCTCTCTCTCTGATTCTCTACTTTTGCAAACATAATGACCATCTTCACAGAATAGCCTCTCCTAGCAACATACCCAATGCATGAGAGACTAAATTTTACCATCTTTGTACCCAAGCAGTACTTTGGCTACACTTTTCCCAAGACATGTCTGTTTGTTTTTTTGGCAGACTGTGATATTCAGTAAGTACATTTATCTTTTTAACTTACTGAGATTATGTCTGTTTAATAAATCTAGCAAAATATATATTTTATGAAACGTTTAAAAAAATTATGTAGTACTGACTTTATCATGCCTGTCAAGGAATTTCATCAAATTCTTTGAGAGGCAAAATAATTGCAAAAACTATAAGAAGTTCAGTTAAGTAATAATTTAATAATATCAAGATTTATTTCATATGTGAAAAAATAAAATAGCAAGTATGCAACATTTATTTGTTAAAACAAATCTCAGAGCCTATGTTTGCCTGTGGTTTACAGATGAGGAATCCTGTTTATAAAGCAAATTTCTCAAGGTTAGTACCAAACAATAACAAAGCTGGCATTTTTAAGAATTTTTAGGAAGTATAAACTGTACTCTAGTCCCTGAAAAACATGAACTTCCTAAAAAACAAGGAAGAAGGGGGAAATGGAAGGTATTAATTATGTAAGTGATAAGAAAGATGGTTAATCAACTATTTTTCCTAAAGTTGAATTCAGACATAGATAAAGATTCAAAATTTTAAAAATAAAAGTTTTAATTATTAAGTTTTAATGTTTCTTCTAAAATGGTATTTTAAATTAAGAGAATGAAACTATATGCAATATCAAGTGTGTAATTTTTATTACAATTTTTCACAAATTAAGAGAGAAGTGTTTCAGATTCTCTATTTACAATCTTTTAAAGGCATTAAAAACTTATATTTGATTCACTTAGAGGCTAATTCCTTCTCATGATATCAGTTCTTCAGCCTACTACTTAACTGCCAAATTAGTTCATTGTAGTGGAATCCTTAGCTGATGTCATATATTGCTTAATTAGTTTTACACAAATTACTTTTCTTTTCCATTGCAATGCAACTTAATAAAACAAAAGGAATGGTGCGTTAAATGCTTTCGCAAAACACTGTTCATTACGCAGCTATGCATCTGTTTTAATCTTGTTTTGATTCTGAGGCATTATATTCAAAAGATTTGTGTTTTAAAATACTTTATTTTTTTTGATTACCAGCTATCCTGGGTTAATTTTTACTTGCGTCATTATGAAATTAACAGCTGTTTCAATAATGATCATTATTTAAAATAAATCATTTGGTACTTCTTCAACCCATATTGTCATATTTTTTTTACTATAACAAGAAATAATCAGTTGATAGACGTTAACACTGAAGTAAGAATATTAAGTTTACAAATATTTTCAAGGTAAATCTAAATTTCAAATATGTTAAATGTGAACATGCACTTGTTTAAAATGTAGAAATAGGCTACATTTCTCTGGTGAGTTAATTAATATAACCCTTCCACTCATAGTCTTCCATTTTGCAATGTGTTGTAAATTTTAGCCTCTTTGTGATTTTTTTAGGAAGTTCTGGTGTCCTAATGGTAAGATGTGCAGAAATTCTCATGGTTTAATTAATTTTAAAACAAGAAGTTGGTTGTGTTAATGAGGTAAGATTAAGATGAGTTACAGTTTGAATCTCTACCTTTCTAGGAGGTGTATGATCTAAATCACCACCTTTGGTTCTTTTAGGATTGTTTTTAATAACCCTAATGTCTTCTCTCACATGCAATTTAGTGCCTCTGGAAACCTGCTGGAGAGTCAGTTAAGGATAGATTCAGACTATTCAGAGGAATGATCTTGAAAGGTTCCGTTCTTTTCAATCTAGGCTGATCCAGTTGTTCCAAGAACCACAGTTCACAGGCCTCTGACCTTTGGCTCAGCAGCCGGTGAACAAGCATAACCTACAGATTTGAAGCTTGTCAGCCTCTACAACCACATGAGCTAGTTCCCTGATCTTACATATTTTTTAAATTTCTGTGAAACTTTCTAGTGAATTACAGAAGTCAAAGACACAGATTGGAGTGAGACAGTACAGAAAGGAAGAAGAGATGTTACAGATGATGGAGTAGTACAGAAGTTTTTAAAAAGTGTGCATTTGAGACATTTTTAAATCTCTGCCCCACAGGAACCAGTCTTGCAACAATTATTTGAAAAAAGATTGTTTGTGCAATTTCTATTTAAAGAATTGAAATTGGGTTAGATTGACTAAATTAGACCTTTAGAGATAGAGTCAGTCTTAAGCCCTTTGGATTTGCAATGCTAAAGGCAATAATCACATTTTTCCCAAAAGAGTTACTTTCGGTGCTGTTTTGTGATACAAAGGTCATCATATAATCCAAGATAACTCTTTTATTTTCTAATAAAAATACTTTTTTAACCTTGATACTGGGTGGCGAGTTATCATGAGTAAATATCAACTAGAAGGCAGTATGTTTGTGCTTGTAATAGACTTAAGCAATGTGAATATCTAGTTAACATGCTAGGGAGTGCTGGTGGCCTAACTGGTAAGGAATTTCACTGCCAATTATAATGGCATAGGCTTTAAAGCCACAGCTGCTCTGCAGGAAAAAGATGGACAGTCTCCTCTTGTGTGGTTTATTGTCTCCAAAAACCCACTGAAGAAGGTTCAGCTATTGTTTGGTTCTAAGTTGATGGTACACAATAACAGTTAACACACTTGAAACTTTCTGTTGCTGCTGCCTTAGCTTGAATTCTTTGTAGGAGCAAAGCCAATAAACTGTATTCATATAAATATATACAGAGAAAGCTTATTTTGCTTTGCTTTGGGTCACTCTCTCCCCAACAACAAAAAAATGACTCACAAAGCTGTGGAGGCTGGGAATTCCCAAATTTATGGGTCAGCCATCAGATCCTATCCTCAAATGCCTGAACTGGTAGATCAGAAGGAAACCCAAATCTACAGATTCAGTTTCAGGCTGTTGGCTTGCTTTTCAAGAAAAAGAAGTCATGGGATGAAGGATCAAGAGTGAGTGAGCTTTGTCAGAATGTCCATATATATTAGATGATGGCCACATGCCCCAGATTATGTATTTATCACTGCCAACAAATCAGGACCAATTCATAACTAAGTACGAAATACTGAGAATCACAACATAGCCATTATATAGCAATAACTTTCACAATTTCTAGTTAAGAGAAATGCTCAAAATCTTAAGGGATTTTTGTTATGGTTTTATGTTACTGTTTTTTAATAACAAATACTCCACGGTATTTTTTCACTTTATTTGATTGATTTGCATATAATAATTTATTTACACTGTGCTATATTCTATATAATCTTTCATTTGTACTGTGATTTGCACAATCATTCATATGCATTGTATTTTACAAAATTACTATTAACCTATTCCTATTGTTATTCCAT